CTTTGTACTGTGAGAAGATGTGTTTTCATGCTGTGGGGAATAACATGATAAATCCCCAGGTAGGTCCAAGAGTGTCTTATGACTGTCAGCCTGGGTGCCAGGGAAAGGAGAAAGCTCTGGTGATTCAGTGGAGAGCCTGGGGAGGGAAATGTTTGCTCAGGACAGAGCCCTGTGGCAGCGCCAGGGGACGGGAGCGAGGTCCCTGAGAGGAGGAGCAGGGGACCCTGCACAGAGATTCCCCCGCACCAAGCACGCTGCTGGAAAGCAAAATAATCTCCTTTTAAACCCAAGTAAGGGGTCCAAGCCCTGAAGGCTCCGGGACACATTCTGAAATGTGTTTGAGCACTGAATTTCCATCCTGTATCCTTCAATCCGCTGCGTGCCCTGGGCAAATCCAGCACGGTGCTGGCTAGAGCACAGGGTGCTGAGTTAGAACCCAGCTTCCCCAGATACCACCTGAGACCCACGTCTCACTGTTGAACTGTTTAAAAATGATGGATACCTACAAAATACAGTTTTAAATCCAGAAGCAACACCAGGGAGGCCAGGCCTGTATGGCTGAGCCTTGTGGCAAAGGTTTGCTGTGGTCTCCTTCACCACGCAGACATTTTTATTCAGATGAGATCTGCTTGTGATTTGGATCCTACCAGGAGTGATGTGAGGGGCTGTGAGGGCTGGAGAGGCAGCGGTGCCCCCAGCATGAGGCCATGCCATCAGATGTCTGTCTCGCTTGCATCATACAGAGGGTTGACGTAGAAGACCTGGTGGTCTTTGGGTGCCATCTCTTGTGGTGTCTCCTCCTCTCCAGGGTCAGTGCTTGGTGGCTCCTGCAGCAGTGAGGGAGGGAAAAGCAACCAATGGGGAAGGGAAGTAAAACCCTTGGCAAAACCCACCCAGCACTGAGTCCCTGCAGCCGTGCAGGAGGACAAGACCGTCCCACAAACCCCTCGTGGCCTGGGGAAAGGAGAACCCCTGATGGGTGTATTGCACCTTGCGTTGCACCTGCCCTGGCACTCCTGGCTGGGGCCCCACTGCCTCCTGCCCACGTTCCCGAGCATCCCTCTGACCCTGGGCAGTGGCAACTCACCACATCAAACATGGGGTTGTTGAAGCCTTTGTCACTGGCCGGTGCAGGGGACGCCAGGTCCTTCGTTCTGTCCCAGGGCTGGGGGAGGTGCAGGGCAGGCAACCTGAGGAGATACCTGGGCATCACCCACCCGCATCCCTCCGTCCCAGCAGCTCCTTCACCTGAAACCCTGTGTCTTCAAGAAGTGGATGGGAAAATACAGGGCCAAAGTTTCAGGCTGTCTTTGAAACGGAATGTTTGTACCCTTTCCATAGCTGCCATATCCATCAGAAACCATTAAGCCTGGAGGTCTGGGACCTGCATCCTGGAGGGAAGAGTTTGTCAGGGCAGACAACCCTAGTACAGGCTTCGCTTCGGAGCCATCGCTCTCCCCCCCATGGCTTAAAATGAATTGCCACACCTGTTCCCACTGCAAGCTCAACAAGCACTAATTATTTTTATCATTACTTTTATCATGTTATCATTTTATCATCTTAATCACCATTACTACTTTTATTATTTTCTTCATTACTCTTGTCCTAAGGGTCCCAGTCACCAAGCATCATCCCCTGCACCAGGCACCTGGTGTGGGTGAGCTCAGCAGTGGGTCCATACAAGTCACCGCAGGTCCCAAGAGCCCACCGACACTGTGACCACAGGCTCTACATATGCAATTGGAGTAGCTGTGCTGTCTGCAGGGAGGCTCTGCCAGGCCCTTTTTGGTGGAAACAAGCTAAATTCACTGGTTTGCTGGTGGTCCAGCTCTACTGCATGGATGCAGGCTGCTTGAAGGCTCCCAGAGCCTCCTGCCTAATTTGCAGAATCCCTGCTGGTGTTGGATGCCTCCGTGATGCTCAGCAGCACTGCCCAAAAGGGCCCAGCCCTGGAGCCACCCAGGGACATGCAGCAGGAGCGGGTCAGCTGGGGACATGGCCTGGGCTTGGGTTCAGCTCCGTCTCCTGTAGCAACATGAACTTCCTTTCCGCTGCTGATGGAGCTGGTTTCAAAGACCTGTCCAGTGTCCAAAGAAGTGTCAGTGGAAGATAAATCATCAAGTAGCAATTACGAGGCCGGGAGTTTTATTTAGAAATTAAATGAAGGCGCAGGTTTATTGCTAGGAACTGTCATGTCAGCACGTGCTGAGTGGCAGGACAAGCATCCCTGGCCATGGCCACTGCTGTGTGGCGAGAAAACCCCAGCAGAGGAACTGGGAGGGAAGAAACAATCTGACTTGTGAGCCTGTGACATGGCCAGCCCGAGCACTGGGCAGCTCAGCGTCCCCTGGTAGACATCAGTGCACTTTGCACGTGCAAATGTAAGCAGTTCCCACCTCCTGGTTGTAAAACACACAGGGTCCATCCTGCTTGCCCACAGTTGGGTAGGTGAGATGAGCTGTAGCAGCTCAGTGGACGACTTCACACACAAAGACGTCCACCAATAAGCCCTGCAAAAGCCTCCATGTGAAGGTGGGTGCATGAGCGACTGAGCCCCAGCACCTGCTGTGGGCACTACTGGGATGCTCTATTCACCACCACAGCCTGTCTCCAAGCTGTGAGGAGAAGAGGTGATGGAGAAGGGCCATTTCTGCCTGTGGTGTGGTCAGGTGCCACGTGCTCTGCCATCCCTCACACCACTCCACGCAGCGTGAGCAACTAATGCACCAGAAATTGCATTTGCTCCTGGATGCTGTCACTCCCTTTCATGACTACAAAGCTGTGGGATGAGTGTTGTGAATTCTTTTGATGCATTTCTGTTTAGCAGCTGGCAGTTTCAGTCCTCCAGCCCCCGTCAGGGCTGCAAACTAACAGTTACAAGGAACAGGAGATGTTGCTGGCTATGCAGAGCTCCAACAGAGATGCAGCAGCCCTGCTCCCACCAGAGCACACTGCACTATGCCAAGAAGCAACTCCTCCTGGCCATGGAGGAGGCTGAAGTACCAGTTCAAGAGTATGAAACTGCCTTTCAGCCACCTCACCTCCAAAATCCATGAGGAACAATGAGGACAATGGTTTTAAACCAGAAGAGGGTAGATTGAGATTAGATTTAAGAAATTCTTTAGTATGAGGGTGGTGAGACACTGGAACAGGTTGCACAGAGAAGTTGTGGCTGGCCGGCATTGCAAGTGTTCAAGGCCAGGCTGGATGGGGCTTTGAGCAACCTGATCTAAAGGAAGATGTTCCTGTCCATGGCAAGGAAGGTGGACTAGACAATCTTCAAAGGTCCCTTCCAACCAAAACCATTCTATGATTCTACGTACCAGTAATGTTGGGTATAGCATACTGCCTGGCCATGCCTACCACTGTGGGAGCTCTGGGCAGCACTGCATGTCCCTGTGTCACCAGGCTGGCTGGAATGACAGCCTGGGGTGAAAGCTGCCCCCAAGCAAAAGCCTGGCAATACACTGCCAGCAGAAGCCCCATCCCTACCGTAGTTTTCCCTTTATGTAGAGAAAGAGAATCCCTCCAAGGAACAGGAGACCGAAGAGTAGCCCCAAGACTGTCCCTGCTATGATCCTGCTCGATACATGGCTCCCTGCTTGCCCGACAAAACTGTTGCTGGTGGCCACCTCCATTTTGCTGCTTGAAATGCCAAGTGCTTCACCTGGGAAGGAAAGGGCAGGAAGAAATAGGGGTGAGGACTGGACAGGGCAGCACATCCCCACACCAACTTGTGCACAGGACAGAGGAGCCTGAAGTTGGGTCTGGCACTGGTTGCCTGGTTGACCACTTTCCCAGGGACAGGGGCTGGGACACACAGCTGAGTGGACTCAACTGGGACAAGCACATGTGGGTCTCCTACCCACACAACAACCACCAGGTCCCCTGGCTGTGACCTACATGCTCATCAGCATCTGCCAGCTTACATGGCTGCCTCCATGTTCTGGCTGGAATGCAGCTCTGCAGAGAGGGACCTGGGGGTCCTGGTGGGCACCAAGCTGACCATGGCCAAGCATGGCATGGAAGGACAATGGTATCCTGGGCTGCGTGAGGAGAATGGTTGCCAGCAGGTCAAGGGAGGTGGCCATCCCCGACTCCTCTGCCTCAGAGAGACAGAGCTGGAGTGTCTCACAGAAGAGCCAGCTCTTCTCAGCGGTGGCCAGTAACAGGGCAAGAGGCAATGGGCACAAATTGAAATAAGGTAAATTCCACTTAAATATAAGAAAAAAATGTTTTACTGCAAAGGTGGTCAATTGTGAGGACAGGTTGTCTGGAGAAGTTGTAGAGTCTCCACCCTTGGAGACATTCAAAACCCAAATGGACACGTGGGCGGCTGGCGGGAGCCAAGGAGCTCCAGACAGCAGTGGCTTTTAAGTGCACCCACAGGGTGTCACGGAGGACAGTGGCGTTACCATGCTGTGCTATGTCCTCCATGATGTCTGCTGCCACCTGCTCCGCAGCGATGCCGGTCTGTGCTCCTGCTCCATCGTCCATTAGAACAATCTGGATGAGAGGAGTGGAGCTCCGGGGTATGACTCCCAGGAAGGTCTGTGCTTTGTGCACCTTGGATATGGCCATCCGCACACCGGCGTACTTGGGCTTTTCAAAACACAAGGAGACACATAAAGCCCATGAGAGTGGCAGGCAGAAATTAGTCACTTCTATAGACAGCCATGATGGATACATCAGCAAGGCCCACTTATAAATCTTGTGAGCTCCATCACAGAGCTGCCATCCCTGTAACCACAGTGCTGTTGTGCTTCCCAAATGAGAGGTTCCTATCTCCCCTCCCTTCCACGCTGTGACCAGCACCCAGCACGCAGCATCCCTCTGGGGAGGCAAGCACGTCAAGAAAGCAATTTTGTGTAGCACAGCCATTAAACGTTGTATGAAGACATGTGTGGCTGTAAGGAGGGCAGGCAGCAGGCTTTCAGCTTGGGATCAATAGAGCAATACTCTGGTATCGATCCTCCCAGTGTAACTTGGAGCACACCTCCTTCCCCAGCTGCTCCCAGGCAGGAGAAGGGATGTCACACTGTGTCTGACAAGCAGCAGCATGGAGTCATGCCTTGTGCATCTGAGTGCTGACCAGTGCTGGTTACCCACCCAGTGCTTGCCTACTAGGGAATGAAAAAGCATCCCAGCATTGGGACCTATCTCCCAGAGACCATGGCATCCCCTGCCGCAGGTTTGCATGAGCCCAGTTGTATCATCTGACCTCCCATGTTATCTAGACCTGACCTCCTCCATTATCCCCCCGACATCCCCACCAGCATCGAGTCACTGGCAGATGGAGCTGGTGGCTTGCGGTTTCGTTAGACCCTCCCAGTCTGGCAGGCTGGTGTACCTGGCTGAGCAAGGCTTGGACCAGTCTGTCCCGGTACTTCTGCAGGTCAAAATCAGGAGTGAAATCCAGGTTAATGGTGGCTCCTGCAGCCCAAAAACAGATAGACATGACATTGTCAATGAGACTGGGCAGAGAACTGCTGCAGCAGCACAGTTCCAGCTGCCACGAAAGGCACTGGGGACCCTCTAGTACCTCCATGCAACTGGTCTGGCTGGGCTCAGGAGAGGTGGCTCTACAGCCCTGCCTGAGCAGCACTGCCCCAAGAAACCTCTCCCTCCCTCACTGGTCTTTTTATCAACTGGGTTTGATGAAAGGCTTTTGGTTTCCAACATATTCTGAAGAGAAGCTTTCCCTGGAAAGCCTTCTCCCACTCATCCCTCTGGGAAGCTCTGCACGTACCTGGTTTCAGGGCAGCAAGGCTGCAATTCAGCAATGCTACCCTGGCCTTGGAGGGAAGGTGGAGAGGAGGGGACACTTGTGCTCCCTGTACAGCTGCACTGCAGTCCTTGGGTCAAATATTTTCCTTGGCAAAAAATGCAAGTAAGCATTTCTTGAAATATGAAATTATCCTAAAGGCTTTGAGGGCTCTGCCTTTAGGAGCATGTTGGAGAAACATATAGTGCTGTTTTAATGAATTTGGGGACCTACAGGAAAGCTGGGGACGAACTTTTTACAAAGGCAGGTAGTGATAGACCAAGGGGTGATGGCTTTAAACTGGAAGAGAGCAGGTTTAGATTAGACATTAGGGAGAAATTATTTCCTGTGAGGGTGGTCAGACACTGGAACAGGTTGCCCAGAGAAGCTGTGGATGCCCCCTCCCTGGAAGTGTTCAAGGCCAGGTTGGATGAGGCTTTGAGCAACCTGGTCTAGTGGAAGGTGTCCCTGCTGATGGCGGGGGGGTTGGAACTGGATGATCTTTAAGGTCCCTTCCAACTCAAACCATTCTGTGACTCTGTGATTCTATATACCAAATATCTAGGTACAATTGTGCATGAAAATCTCCCCTTAGCAACTCTCCAGGCAGATCAATGGAGAAGCGCCCATTGCAGAGGGAAAGCTGTCAATCTGCATGTTTTTATTTAAAATGAAATGAAACAAACTTGCTGTTGTAAAGCTGGCATTATGGTGAAAAAGGTGCATTTCTTCTGAGTGTTTTCCGCTGCATAAACTCAGCAGAGCCCTATTAGCTTGACGAGCTGTGACATCCTGACAGGATAAACCAGAGGCAGGGACAAAGGGCTGCAACTCAGAACAGGCTGCCAACAGTCAGGCTGATGCTTCAGAGAGATGCCCTGGGAGGGTGGCATGTGGGATGCGGATGGGACTGTGGATGTGACCCATGGGAGCAGTGATACAGCAAAACTTCAACCCACAAGCAGCAGCACCCGCCCACACCCAGCTTTCCCCACAGAGCCAGAGGAAAAGGGGCTGGGGCAGCTGGCGCAGCAGGGAGGAGGAATAGGGACATGTCCCCCACTCACCACAGACCCCACAACAGTGGCCAAGGGGCTGCAGAGGGCTTCGGCACGCTGGCACTGGGCACTGCCTCCCCGACGCCCTG